TCTCTGCCCCCCAGTTTTTACTACTAACAGTAGCAGTCAGCGACGATTGAAACGAGCGGATGGGAGGAACCACAACACACGGGAAATTTATTCGCATTTTTTTTTTATTCCCCTTTTCCTTTTCTTTTTTTAGTTTAATTTTTTTATTTCGCATTCATCGGTGGATCCCTGGAGCGGTGGAACCCACCTGTGGCTTTTGAGGCACGTGATGAGGGGAGAAAGACCTTTACACGGTGGGTGGGGTGGGGAGGCAGGGGGGAAGACAATAGATCCGTGGGAATTGTCATTTAAATATTTTGCAGATGTTTATGGACATTTTCCGAAGGCCTATTAATGGAAGACAGAGGGTGGTTTTTATTTTTTCTAGGGGGGGGGGGGCTCTCTCTTGAGCGAAGGTAGAGCATCTCGAGCCAAGGTCGGAGTCAGGACAATGAACTCCACAAGGAAAAGTGATCGTACATCTCATTCACATATTTGTGGCTCACATTGGGGGTTTTTCATGCGATAATTGAAACCGACGGATCGGACGTGATATCTCGATTTTTTAAGTTTACTTTTTTTTAATTAATAAAATGGGAATTATTGATTGGTATAAGAATTTCAGTCTAGGTAATTGGCGAGACTGGTTTAATTTGCTTTAGCTTCCTTTTTTATTTATTTGTCCGGGAGGAGAATGGAGATATCTGGATGTTATCCCTTGATTTTTCGAGAAGTCGATCTTTTTTGATTTTTAAAATAGAGTTATCGATTGTTATCAGAATTACATTGAAGTGATTTCTCGCGGCTGATTTAATATTTTATTCTTCCAGGAAGGGAATGGAGCAAAGCGCAGAATATTCAAGTGGAGAATAGTGGAATCTACCCGAACGTGAGGATGAATAATACAGTCGGGGAAAAACAAAACATGGTATTGTTGAAAAAATGAAAACATAATTAACTCCAACCTTGCAGACACCTGTGACGTACTTGAATAAATGCTCGTCGAATGCCTCGTTTAGTGCGTCATCATTACTTTATACAGGGAGTAACGGGATGGTGATAATGATGGATTGGCAATATTCTCATTGCCCCCCCAATTTATCGCGAAAATTGTAAAATCAGTTTTCTGTAGAATTGTCTTCACGCTCTGGCGTTGAAATCACTTGATCATCTGGTCAATAATTCCCCTCATCGATTCGGTTATCGATTTTCCATCCGTTCTAGAATGCGTATTACTATGGAAATCATTGATTCACATCATGAGTCGGTGAAGTCAACAAATAAAAAAATGACTAAAGTGAAATGGAAAACCGCCTAATGAAGTTCAATCGAATGGAAATGAAATACGATCCGTTCATGATTAATGATTCATTGAAATTTGAAAAAAAAAATGAATTGCTGATCATTAGCGGTGATCTAGGGAAAAAATATAATTCGCTTAATAATGATAATAATGTAACTGTTATTCTAAGTAGTTTCTAGTGATATTGGGAAAAAAGGGAAAAACTAATAAATCAAAAACAAA